TATAGGGATTAATGAGCAGGTATTTTTATGGCAGTTTATTATTGCCAACTTCTTAATTTGGAGAAGTTTTGAGTTGTTATTTCCCCCTCTCCTGCTTGATTAGGCTTCAGTAGAACTCCAAGGCATAAAGGGATTATGGTCATTGAAATCTTCGTTCAATGATCCATATGACATGTACCTTGTCGTGAGCTTTATAAGTGAGACACGATTCTTGGCGATGAACATGGAAGATGAACTAGAAGAGACTGAGATAGAGGGGTTTGATGCACAAACTCAAACCCTGTTTTGCCAGAATGCGATCAATGATCTTCTTATACAGGTGCCTGTTCTAATGACCATTCCGTCAATACCCTTTCTTGCATTTAGCACACTAGCGGCTAGCAAACTATTATTACCTCTGTCCACTAATGTAGTAAGGGAAAAGTTTTAGAAAGTAGATTTTAGCCATTTCTCTTACAATATATTATCAGTTGCTACAAAATCAACACCATCCTATAAGTAATTTGAATAAAGATGTACTGATGCAGCTTTTGTACGCTAAACATGCATTTAATTTGACTAGTTGTTTCCCCTTTTTGTACATTTTGACGTCTGCCTATTCAATTCAAAATGCCCTGTGTTAGTGGATATAAAAAATGTAGTGGGTATTTGAAGAAAGCTCCTTTTTTGTGTATGTTTGATAGATTAGTTTCCTGTCAGTTCATTTTTCATCATTTTAGCAGTTATGTGATATGAGTCATTTTAATCAACTATATCAATGTTTTACCTGTTGTTTTGAATGACAGGTTACTGCTAATTCTGTTCGGTTAGTCAGTTGTACCTCCCGGGAGCTAGTGGATCAATGGAATGCACCAGCAGGATTCTCAGTCAATGTTGCTTCAGCTAATGCCAGTCAGGTGCTTTTCCTTTTGGACTGCCTCCTGTCGCTCTTTAGAAATTTTGGTTGGGGACATCCCACGTTTCAATGAGACAACCAATTATTTTTTTTTTTTAAACCTAAAACTTTCCTGTCATTTTAGTAATATTGCCCTGTTATATTTCCCTAGTAGGTAATTACCAAATATGATCTGATCATTAGATGTGTAGTAATACAAACTTTGGGGGCTGTAGTACCCTTTTGCCTTGTTGTCGATGCACATGTTGACGTGCATCCAGGTCTTCTTTTATCCAACATAAACCCAGGAGAGGAGCTAAGGGGCGGGTATCATAAACAAGAAACATAGCGAGGTTATCAAAAGACTTTTTGTGTATATGCAATCATAATCTAAAGGTACCTGTGCATTTTGAGTAGGCTGGCAGCCAAATGGAGCATTGTAACTTTGTGTAGTTATTATAATCCAGAATTACAGTGTCACCTTTACCTATTGCTGTGATTTTGTGCAGACATTTTTATCATCAGCAACCATTAGTCCAGACATATCTTTCTTCAATGTTCTAAGTACAAATGGATTTGAATGATTGGATGCCAATGCTATTTATTTTCTCATACTATTTTTTAATTTCACATGTGTTGCAGGTTCTGTTGGCAACTGGTGGTGGCCATCTTGTTTACCTGGAAATTAGGGATGCTAAACTTGTTGAAGTGAAGCATGCGCAGCTAGAACATGAGATTTCTTGTCTTGATTTGAACCCAATTGGGGAGAATCCACAGTATAGTTCCCTAGCTGCTGTTGGGATGTGGACAGATATAAGTGTTAGAATATTTTCACTTCCAGATCTTGAATTAATAAGGAAGGAAAATTTGGGTGGAGAAATTGTTCCTCGGTCTGTTCTGCTGTGCACCTTGGAGGGGGTATGCTCTTGAAAAAGCTTTTCTAAGCTCATCAAAAACAAGAATGGCTACTTCAAGTAACATATACATGTTCTTTTTTTCTTTTTCAGGTTTCGTATTTGCTTTGTGCTCTTGGGGATGGTAACCTGTTCAGTTTTCTGCTGAATGCAAGTACAGGTGAACTGACTGATAGAAAGAAGGTTACCCTCGGGACCCAACCCATCAGCCTTCGTACCTTCTCATCAAAGGGTACCACCCACGTGTTTGCTTCGTCAGATAGGCCAACTGTCATCTATAGCAGCAATAAGAAGCTTCTCTATAGCAATGTCAATTTGAAAGAGGTTAATCATATGTGCCCTTTCAATACAGCCGCTTTTCCAGACAGGTTTGTTCCCTCTCTAGATTTTGTGCAATGGAATTACTTAATCTTTGAGTCAAGTACCTCCTGTCTGTACTTGGGAATTGGGATCATCTATCAATTTGGCCGAAATGTTTTCACAAGCCATTTTGCGTAACCATCTTATCTTTGTCAGTTCATGTATTGTGTTGGTAGACCTTAATTTCTTGACACTGTGAAGCAATCTCCTTTTAATTCTTATGTACTTATAAATCTTATCATTGACAGTCAAATTAGGGAAAAGAAATGTTTTATAGCCTGCTGTTTATGTCTTTTGATTTAATTGTTTTATTTTTTTTATTGTTGCTAGTTGCATTCTACTTGATGCTCTGAGCTTGTACTTCATTTGTGTCACTGGTCCAGTCTTTGTGGAGTTATGGTTTGAAAATGGTACCACTGTCTTAAGTTTGCTCTAGTTCACCCCTTGTTTTTCCAATGTCAGTCTTGCAATTGCTAAAGAGGGTGAGCTTTCAATTGGAACTATCGATGATATCCAGAAGCTTCATATCCGCACAATCCCCCTTAATGAACAAGCACGTCGCATTTGCCACCAGGAGCAATCAAGGACACTAGCATTTTGCAGTTTCAAGTGCAACCAAAGTGTGGAGGAAAGTGAGACTCATTTAATACGTCTGCTAGATCATCAGACTTTTGAGTCCCTGTGTGTATATCCTCTAGATCAATATGAATATGGCTGCTCCATCATTAGCTGTTCCTTTGCGGATGATAATAATGTTTATTACTGTGTGGGAACTGCATATGTTATACCTGAAGAAAATGAACCAACAAAGGTAATATATCTGAAAGCATGATGTTTTACTAATACTAGTTAACTCCCTTTTAATACTTGTTCAATCTACTGCTGCTTGTATTTTATTTCTCTGTGAACCTTGTCTATTTCTTGTGCACAAAATGCTTATGAATCGGCGCATCTTGTAGGGCCGGATCCTTGTATTTGCAGTTGAAGATGGAAGCTTGCAATTAATTGTGGAGAAAGAAACCAAAGGAGCAGTTTATTCGCTGAATGCATTTAATGGGAAATTATTGGCTGCTATCAACCAGAAGATTCAATTATATAAGTGGATGTCACGCGAGGATGGTTCACATGAGCTGCAATCTGAGTGTGGCCACCATGGGCACATACTTGCCTTGTATACTCAAACGCGTGGTGACTTCATTGTGGTTGGCGATCTGATGAAATCAATATCCTTGCTGGTGTATAAGGTGGGTCTTTTAATTGTTTGCTGGACTCACATTGCATTATCTGTAATTTTTTTGTGTCAAGTTTTTTTGTTGGGCTGATTGCTAATGTTTTTACTTTTGGGCAGCATGAAGAAAGCGCGATTGAAGAGCGTGCTAGGGATTACAATGCAAACTGGATGACTGCAGTTGAGATGCTTGATGATGAAGTCTATGTTGGGGCGGAGAATGGCTATAACCTATTCACCGTGCGCAAGAACAGCGATGCAGCCACAGATGATGAAAGGGCCAGGCTTGAGGTCGTCGGGGAGTACCATCTTGGGGAGTTTGTGAACAGATTCCGCCATGGTTCACTCGTGATGCGTCTTCCAGACTCAGAGATAGGGCAGATTCCTACGGTCATCTTTGGCACAATAAACGGGGTAATTGGCATTATTGCCTCCCTCCCGCATGACCAATACGTCTTCCTAGAGAAGCTCCAGTCGACTCTTGTGAAGTACATAAAGGGCGTCGGAAACCTGAGCCATGAGCAATGGCGGTCGTTCCATAACGACAAGAAGACAGCGGAGGCTCGGAACTTCCTTGACGGTGACCTGATCGAGTCGTTCCTTGACCTTAGCCGGAGCAAGATGGAGGAGGTGTCCAAGGCGATGGGCGTCCCCGTGGAGGAGCTGTCCAAGAGGGTGGAAGAGCTGACGAGGCTTCACTAGTAGATGGATATGTAGATGCTTTGCATGTAAGCCTGTAACTTGTTGCATGTACATCCTATGTTTAACATCTGTTTTGTGCTGTAGCAGTGTTGCAGTCGCATGTAGCAGTTCCCTGAGCTACCTCCGCAGTTGCCGCGGGTCGCACAAGCAAAGTGTTCGCCCGTGGCTGTAGCCTATACCTGTCCTGCATTGTTGGTTGACCCGAATACCTTTTGAGCTGCCAGTTTGTTGAGATTGTTTTTGTTTATTTGTGCTGAATGGAAAGATTAGTGGTGAATCCTGTGATGGTTCTAGTTGATGAGATGGATCGGCGTGAGTCAGGAGTAGATGGATTATAGATGGGGAGCAGATGAGGTGCTCCTAGTAAAGGGATGGATGACCGAATGAGACGGCAGTTGAGAGCTGTCTTGTCTTCTTTCTGGTAGAAGTAAGATAGTGGTGGTGGTCCAGTCCAGGCCCAATCCAATCATCAGTCAGGGCCAGCCTGGTCCATCTAGCTCCAGCAGGCAGTAAGCCCAGCGCTTTGATTTGAACCTGCCGCTGCGAGGACACCCCGTTTGGGGGGCAGCACTGCGCTAACGCGACAGCCACAGCCACCACCAGATCGAGCAAGCCGCCGACCCACCAAAACCACACCACAGCGCTGCGCGTGCATCTGGTCCCTCCCCCGTCTGTCTCTCTCCCTCTCGGTCTGCCCCCCGCCCAAAGCCGAGCCTCGCGCTTGGCGCTCCTGTCTCTCTTTCTCTCCCTCCCGCACGGGCGCACGGGGCACCCACGCCTCGCCATCCCGCTGTCCGGTCCACCGCCGCAACCTCTGCCACCCCGCCGATCGCGGGGGGCTCGGACTCGCCGCCGCTTCGCCCTGTCCCGCCCCAGGCGCCCAAACCCTAGATCTGGTACGGGATCCGCCGCGCTCGCCGCCATGTTCTGGCGCATGACCGGCCTCTCCGCGGCCTCGCCCGTGAGTACACTCCTCTCTTGCCTCTTGTGCTGTGCCTCTCGCTCTTCCATTCTGTTGGGAAGGAGGGAGGGTGTCGCCTCGCCAGCCGGATCGACGCACGCTGCTCTGCTCTAGAGCCACGCCTGCTGCGCGTAGGGTTCGCTGCTGCCTCCGCCGCGCGCTGTAACGTCGTAGCTTTGTGCTGTCGATACAGAGAGGCACACATTTCGTTTTTGCTCGCTGTCTTCTGTAATAGACTCCCTTACTTTTATGGCATTAACCAAACTTGCTTTTCCGAAGAAACAAAACAAGTTAGAGAAAAATCTAGATCGACAAATGGCATCAGCAGTTCAGCACCAGCAACGGTTCCGTTGATCTCCCTTTTGGCTTCTTATTGTTGACCGGCTGAATCCTCGGACGGGGTGGGTGTTGGAACAGCTTCCCTGTTCCGTGTTTTGTTCCTGCTGTATGCACACGCTCTGCGGATGTTCCCCAAGGAAGGAATCAGATAAGCCTGGCTGGAGCTAGTTTGAGCGGATTCCATCGGCAATCATTTCCGCTTCATAAATAATAAACATTTCTTTCTCTCGCTCTCTGCACACTGTTACTGTCTCAGTTGGGAACGTATTTTCTGTTTCTGTTGCATCTATTTATGGGACTTCCTGTACATGTGTCGGAAATTAATTTCATGTCAAGTATGCTTACTGTTCATTTATTTCTTCCTCCCTTATAAAGAGTCAGAACACTTTATTCTGTTCAGATAGCACTCTTAACTGTCTAGTGGATTGAGCATGTTTATTGGTGTGTCTTATTTATTTACTATGTTTTTTTACCATCTCAAGGCTGTTGTGAAAATTTACCAGCATACACTTGGACATCCCCATCCCACATGCCTAACTTTCTTTTTCTGTTGGCCAGGTGGATACAATTCTGGACAAGGAGAACTTTACGTTGGAAGAGCTTCTTGACGAGGATGAAATCATCCAGGAGTGCAAAGCACTGAATACTCGACTCATAAATTTGTAAGACCATTACCTGTTTTCAAGCTGCTACAGTTTTCAGCATGTCTAAGCTTTTGTTTTATCACTCTATGAATTTTGCATGTATTGCTGGTTTACTGGCAAAGGAGTCCATTTATGATTTATGAACGAGTAAGATAGCAAAAGCCGTACTTACCATATTCACCTGTCCTTTTCAGCCATACTTAACTCCTATATGCATCAGAACTGCCTATGGGGTTCTCTCATGCAAAGCTGAGAAACAGCTCTAATTGCAATTGATCTGCACATACAACCTTTTCATTTCATTCAAGATTGCTTTGCAATTTACTTCTGCCATTACGCTATGTAATTAGCTTAGCAGCATTGCATGCTGAATTTGTTCCTTTAGTTTCTAGGGAACAGCTAAACACATTCTCCTTTTCCCAATTTTGTAAGCTTTTGCATAGTAGATTCAGCTTAATCATCATTTATTAAATTTGCTTCATTTTCTCATCTATTTCAGATGTTTCAACTGCTGTTAAATGAGTTTTTTTTTTCTCTGTGGTGAAACTAAGTGTTTATTTATGTTGAACTCTGCCTTTTTTAGTTATATAAGTGTTCAGTCTTGAAAAATCTAGTAGTTTTATATGTTATAACAGTATATAGCGATTAGTGTGAACACACCGCGTAGCTTTCAACTGCACTCCACCTTATTGTAGGCTTGTTTCCCTGCCTAAAATGTTTGAATTTTTGTATCTAGCTTGCGAGATAAGGCCCAAGTGCAGCAGTTACTTCGTTACATTGTGGAAGAAGTTCCAGAGGATTCAGAGAAGAAACAGTCTTTCAAGTATGCTATGTATATTTGTTGTTCATTGCCATGCCATATATTAAACTAGTTTGCTGATTAGCCTTGTCAAACTTCACTTGTCTACCTCTTGCAGGTTTCCATTTATCGCTTGTGAGATTTTTACTTGTGAAATTGACATTATTTTGAGAACCTTGGTAGAGGATGTTGAGGTAAATATATTCACTTGTTAGCACATTTCTTTGGAACATTTTACTCCACAAGTTTATGAACTTCGTTCTGTCTAACAATCTCCTTCCTTCTGTTACAGTTAATGGATTTACTTTTCTCATTTGTAAAACCTGACCATCCGCATAGCACCTTGTTAGCTGGTTACTTCAGTAAGGTACCCCCCACCTCGTCTCCTCTTATTCCTGACCTCTTAATCATGGATAAAGTTGTCTTCAAGACCTCTGCAATGTACTTTTACTTCTAACCGTCACATGGGGCTTCACAATTCCCTTCTCTTGTTGCATTATGATGAATTATGGAGCTCAACCAGGTTATTTATCTTTTTAGGTGGTTATATGTTTGATGCTACGGAAGACTGCTTCTCTTATGAATTATGTTCAGGTATTGCTGATCTGTTCTGTAAAATGTAGATTGGTTCTACTGTGCCTTTTTTTCAATGTGTTGCTAGGTAACCTCGAGCTTGACCTGTTCTGCCTGCTTTGAATGCGCATTCATATTCTGTTTTACCAACCAAAGATTGCTGATTGATTGTTTGCCCATGTCAGTGAACTTATTCGTGTAAGTCTTGTTGTGCTTACCTGCTTCTCCTTTGTTGTGTATGCTGTTGCCTTGCTCTTGCAGACTGACTGGCATCCATGATATATTATGTTGTTGACTTTGTATGGGTACATAGAATATGACTTATGGTCTATTGATATTGGAATCCTTTATTTTCTTTGCGATTGTGATATCTCAGTTCTGCTCATTGCCCACACTGTCTTTGGATGCTATGCTGGAAAGATGGTGTCATTTGTGTACATTCCAATTTATGTTTACTTGTCTGTTTTATTTTACCTTTTTGTAGGAGCATCCAAATATTGTTGTCCAGCTTGTCGACCTCATTGGTATCACATCAATAATGGAGGTAAGTAGTTATTGAACTCATTCCCCGTCTAGTTTGGTGAGTGCCTTTGGTTGGTGTTGGTCATCAAATTGATTGTAAAACAGGTGTTGATGAGATTGATTGGCGCTGATGAAACCATATACTCGAATTTCGCGGATACATTGCATTGGTTAGAGAACACAGATGTACTGGAAATGATTGTGGATAAATTTAGCTCATCAGTAAGTACACTTGATCACTCAGTAACAGTGCTATACAACATTTGTTGGGCACTAAACCATGTCATTATTAAGCTTTGGTGTGTGTAGAGTGTGTGGGTGTTTGGGTTCTTGTCCCGTATTTTCTTCTTAATAATAATGAACCGCAGCTCTCCTGCGTTTTCGCGAAAAAAAATGTCATTATTATGCTGTACTTGCAGTGGTTATGGAGGTTGGTTTGTTGTCTCAGTAGAATTCATATGTTTTTTTGGATATATTTCTAGTAAAGGGCTCATATATCTATGTTGCCTTGATCAAACAGGACTCTCCTGAAGTGCATGCAAATGCTGCTGAAATCCTTTCCGCCGTAACTCGATGCGCCCCTCCTGCTCTTGCTGCGAAAATATGCAGCCCAAGGTTTGTCCTTTTCATTTAATTTTTGTGCGATCAGAAAATGCAACTTTTGTGCATCATATCGCTTCCTTTGTCAGCTATTATCATGTTCATTTTTCTTTGCTTGTTCCTGGTATCAGTTTTGTTGGTAGGTTGTTTCGTCACGCTCTTGAAGAGTCAAGACCAAAATCTGTTCTGGTTCATTCATTGTCAGTGTGTATATCTTTGTTGGACCCCAAAAGACTAGCATCAGCCTCATACCAAGCATTTAGAAGCAACTTAACTCACGAGACGCTGATCACAGCCAGTCCAGAAACAGTTGATGGTATGCTGGAGAGTTTAGGTGAGTGCTCTGTGCTTGATTCTTTCTACTTAATGCTACTTGTATTGTTTATATGCTTTTCACTTGTTACACCCTTGCTTTCTGTCACACACATTCTCCTTGTCATGTGCACACCTGGCATGTTTAATGAAAATATGAAATGCTTGATTGCCTTTCCGAGGACTTAACAGTATACCTGTAATCACATCTTAGGTGACTTGCTGAAGTTACTGGACATTACTTCTTCTGAAAATGTTTTGCCTACAACTTATGGATGTTTGCGTCCGCCTCTTGGAAAACACCGTTTGAAGGTATGCTCAGACGCTGTGGATCTCTTGTTTTTAGTTTGAGCATATATGATTAGTTTTCGTTTGCTTAAGACATTTTTTCCTCCTGAATAAATTATTCTTAACCTTCCAGTTATTTGATGGAAGCATTAATGCTGCCTAGGGATTTTTAGACTTTACTGTTATTTAATACCATGCATGAGGATATATGATGGGGTAATTTCTGAGAGAGATATGCTTTCAATCTGAGTTTGATGGCCTCAACTGCTGTCCACCTTGCATAACTCTGCAGTTAGGCCAGGCTCAGAAGGTCCAATTAATCGTTTCCTTCATTCAACGTGTCTCTTCAGAGCCCTTTCCTGTCTATTTTGTTTTAATAAATTATACTTCTGTTTCTTTCAGATTGTAGAGTTTGTCTCTGTTTTGCTAACAATTGGTAGCGAAATTGCTGAGAAGGAGCTAATAAACCAATCAGTGATAAAGCATTGCATTGATTTATTTTTTCTGTAAGTGGGCTACTGTGTGTTTTATTCCTTAACGGTCACTGTTAATGGCAAATCCTCATACATTGCCTGGTGCTGCAGGTACCCTTATAATAACTTTTTGCATCATCATGTTGAGAACATTATTGTTTCTTGCCTTGAGGTTAAAAGAAATCAATTGACTGACCATATCCTTAATGACTGCGGCCTTGTCTGTAAAGTCCTTGCTGCTGAAAAAGGTCCATCTCTGCCAGTGGAGTCTAATGGGGTAAATCTATTTCTTGATACTTGTCATCTTGTTTTTTTCTTTGCTGGGCTATGTCGCCAGTATTTTGATTGTGCCTTGTGTTTGTAGCCAACGTTACCGTCAGAAGGGAAAGAACCTCCAAGAATTGGGAATATTGGACACATAACTCGAATAGCGAATAAGCTCATTCAATTGGGAAATAGTAACAGCATGATCCATAGTCACTTGCAGGTATTTCCAATTTCTGTTTCATCTTTGGCCAACAATTTGGAACTATTGTGTCATATTCATTTACATTTATAAACTTGTGTTTATAGGAGAACAGCGAGTGGGCTGTATGGCAAACAGATGTCCTGGTCAAACGCAATGAGGTGGAGAACGTTTACCATTGGGCATGTGGGTATGTTTTTTTCCCATCCTGGGCTTTCTGATTCTTGTGTACACTGCTGAAACACTTGTGATTTCTCTGTGGTAACTTGTATATTTCTTCCTGACCGTTGGCTAATGTTTTATGCTGCAGCCGTCCAACTTCTCTACATGATCGTGGGAGGGATAGCGATGATGACGACTTCCGAGACAGAGACTATGATGTGGCAGCACTTGCTAATAATCTGAGTCAGGCATTTCGATATGGGATATACAGCAATGATGACATTGAAGAGGTGATTTTCGTCAGTTTTTTTAGCAAGATTTTCTTGAGTTTTGAACATCATGTTCTTTTGTAGCATGCTATAATTTTGTAGAGTGGTATTTAGAAAAAAAGTTGTGTTCAATTTCAGAATCTGTTATAATATCTTCACTGTTGCTGTTTTACTACTAAACATTTCAACCATGTAAAAATAAAACCTTGGGATTCTCCCAGATAACTGTAATATACTAATATTACCTTCATTGCTAACATTATAACGTATTTCATGTTTGATTATTGCAGGCACAAGGATCCCACGAACGAGATGATGAGGTATGCTTACAGTACTACTTATGTAAATATTTCTATTGTTTTACTTCAATACAGTCAATGTAAGATTGGTAAATGGTCAATAATTTTGATTTGATAATTAAAAACATATTGTATCATGCTATAACAAACATGGATTATCTATGAGCTTATTCCTGTCCATGTATTTCAGGATGTCTACTTTGATGATGAGTCAGCTGAAGTAGTAATATCTTCATTGCGTTTGGGGGATGATCAGGACAGGTAATTAATATTTTTCAGTGACCTAAATCTTACTACAAGTAAGATGGCTTATAGTGTGCGCATTCTGCAGCAGTTCCCTCTTCACGAATTCAAACTGGTTTACGTTTGATGGTGATAGAGGAATCAATGATCGCCTAGCTGCCTCTGTTCCTTCATCATCCCCCAATTCTGAAGAGATTTCCTTGAACGCGGAGGAAACTGATGAAGTGCTAACTGGTGAAACCACTGGCACCGAGTCACTGCTGGAAAGTGCATCCCTTGAAAATGGTCCTGTTGAGGAGGCCAAGGAACTAGCAGAAGTTGCTAACGACAGTGATGCTACCACGGTCAGTGAGAAATTTTTGTGTACAGAAGAGGATAGTGCATCCCATGAGCCTGAAACCTCTGAGCGGCCTGTGGATGCTCAAGAGGGCCAGACTGGAGGTGCGGCTGAAGCGTCAAGCACAGAGGGAGCAGCGAATGAACCTTGCAGCTCTTCTGAGCCTGGCAATGCCTTGCCTGAATCTGGTGACACTGATTGTCGCACTGCCAACTCATCTGAGCCTAATGAGATTGCCCATGAATCAGGATCACCTGTGGAGGTTGATGATGAAAAGAAATCTGAGATTGCCACAACAAATGAATGAAGCGTATGGGCTGGAATAGTACCACAAACCAAGGCAGGATCGCCGACCAGATTCTTTTGCTGGTGAGCAATGCCACTTTGTTTTGCATCGCATGCTCAGGGACCACGGACTACCATGCTGAAGCAAGGGTGCCGTACAATTTTAGCGGCGCTGCTTTGCTATGAGCAGTCGATTGTTACTGCTTGGATGAGCATATTCGTGCAGCTGGGCACGCTCTGTTATGATCTCAGCTCATCACCATCCCACATGAACTTATTACGCCGTATTAGCTGGTGGTTGGCGCACGGGGCGTTTAATTCATTTGGTGGTTCCTGATTTTGGCTCAGGGGGGGTTATTTTCTTTTGCTAGGGTACTCGAACTGTAATATCTGCAGTGAGTTTTTCCCTCAATTCTTATATTATTGTTCCTTTCTGATTAGCTGCCTCTGTAATTGTTATTTGTTCAAGTGCAAAATCTGCCTCTCTTTGTTTCTTTAAAACATGTAGTTCCATAAAAAAAATATACTGGAGTAGGTACAAATGATTCTGGACGACCTGCTTAAGGCTGAGCCCAGCTTTGTAGCCATGGTGTGTCAGTGAAAGTTCGGATATTCTACGGCCTATCGCTGCTCACATTAGTAGCAGGCAGCTGCCAAACAGCCAAAATATCTGAGGTACACGCATCAACGACCCGTGGAATGTAAAAGGCTATTAAAGCACGCAGGATGCATATATATTTCTAAGTTTGAGGGGGAAATTAAACCACAATGATAGGATTTGAAGTGGAAAATTATACCAGAGAGAGTTCAAGGAACCTTTTTTTTCTAAATTTAAAAGGAAAATTAAACCACGTTTAAGTCTTGTTTGGATGTCCATATATTCATCTTAATCTATGTGTGTTGGAGTGAACGTATGGGTATCCAGACAAGCCCTTAATAGAAAATTAAACCGGTGGTAATTTCAAGAGGTAACCGAAACTTTTTCGTAAGTTTGAGGCAGCAGCGATAGTTCAGATGTCTTTTCCTAAGAAAATAGTTCGCACGTGACCCCTGACGGCCCATAATTTGTCATGTACTACCCTCTGAAAGAATACAATTAGCACAGTATTATGTTTTAATATCTTAAGTTTGATTAATTATAAATAAAAATATATATGTTTATGACATCAAATAAATACTATTAGATTAATTACGAAATATATTTTTATAATAAATTAATTTAAAGATATAATTGTGAATATTATTCACTTAAAACTTAGTAAAACGTGAACTACTTTTCGTGACACATAACCTGTTTACATTCTTTTTAGGACCCAAGTAGTAAATCACAACAGCGGCCCAAATAATGGTAGGGGCCACTAGACGTCGCAGAAAGACCCCTCTGATTTAAGTACCCATTCAGGTTGTTCATGATAGAAAAGCAAACAGAAGCGCTAAAATAGCCAACACGTGAACAAAAGAACAGACTTTCCAATAGCATGTATATTACACAATTCGTTGCTGCGAGGCTTGAGAGTTTCATGAAAAGTACAGTTCAAGCCATGAAAAGCAAAAGTTAAGGGACGGCACAAAATCTCATTTTTCATGTTATTACAGAATGTGGTTGTAAAATGAAGCGCCTTCCGAGCAAATTACAAAAATCAAACCGTATCAAAATTGGTAACCCTCCCTGGGGAACTCCAGTGTAAAGATGGATGTGGCGCCAAACAACCTCAGCCTCGCAACTCCCAAATTTTACTGCTTTGCCAAAAAACCTCAGCCTCGCAACTCCCAAATTTTACTGCTGATATCAAGACAGTCAGCCTTCCCCAATTATCAGTAGAGACTTGTTTCCAGGCGGTTGCCGATTCATGGCCAGGTGGGGGTGGGGTGGGGTGGGGGGCTTCTCATTGTATCTTCAATATTGCTTTCAACTTTACAACAAGTTTCCAGTCTTCAATAGACAAATCCTCCTGCATTTTAATAATTAAAGGAGGAAAAATCAGAAACCGGTACTGATTTACGTGGCACACATGAAAAATAAGGGGGAAGAATTGGACTTGCCCTGTAGTTTTGTTTCAAAATATCGATAGATCGTCTTGATATCCGGCTGACAAGTTCATCTTCCATATCAAAGTGTCTGCCGAAGCTCCTCTGCTGCTCATCAGAATTGTTTGCGATAATCTGTTCACAAACCCAGCAAACGATTATATACTAATAATAATATACAGAATCCAGAATAACAACTTGGAATAGTGACGCAGATGATGGCACCAACCTTAATAGCGACCTTTTGCCCTTTTGTTGCCATATCAACTTGCTTGTGATTGATTTCAATTGAGGCAATCTTCCCAATATCAATATATTCTTTAGTGGGTATGCAGAGAGGAGTTCCCACCTAAATGACAGGGAAAAACAAGATATCAGGGCAACATACATATCTGAAAATCCAGTCAGTAGTCATAATTTGGTATCGGAATGCCAAAACATAGTAGCTTGACTGGCACAGGAAAGTCATAAGCCGTGGTTAGTACTTGGCGGCCCCACTGATGAGATGGCTGATTCCCCCCAAAACAGTGAACATAACACTCAAGCCTCTGAATCTTTATACAAAACTTTAGTTCCTAGATGAGAGCATATTGGATTCATTCGTGCCTTACTATTTATTAGGTCTAACTAATTAATAAAGCAACATGGAAAAACAGAGTAAGAGTAGAATCCTGATGATAACAAAATACCTTAGCTATTCCTTCAAGGACATCGACACCCAAAACGATTGGATCCTTCTTGTTGAAGACACAGTTTGGCATAATCTTAAGAACACAAGGGAACACAGCTTCTTCAGCGCTTTCCTTCTTCTTCTCTTCCTTGAGGTTCTTAATGTATGCTGTAAATTGGTCAAACAGGTGGTATATTATATCAGCCACAAAGATCCTCACACCGGACTCTTCTGCAAGCTCGCGGGCATCAGGCATCACTTTGACATCAAAGGCCAAGATAGTTGCATATTCTTTCTTTCTCTCAAGCATAACACTAGCCTTCATAACATCCTTTTTGTGCACTGGCCCTATACTAAAATCACAGAAGGGAATATTCACAGCAGGGCTCTTCAAGAACTCAGTGAGAGCTTCCAAAGACCCAAGGGTAGATGCCTGTACATAGACACCCTCACCACTCTTATCAATCCGGCTCCTAACCTGTGTCATCTCTTCCATAACAGCTTCCTTCAGTTTGTCTAAATCATCATCAGGTCCTAACACGTAAAGAGCTGTCCCTGCAATTGCATGTTCGAAACCCTAAAGAAAGCAATCGTTAATACACTGCCATAAAACTTAGAAATGCCAAACTAAAAAACTGTATCCACCTGAGCAGATATTTTGACTCCTTGTGCAGCTCTGATCTCCTTATGATGTAGGTAGGTGCCCTGAAAATACGAGTTTTTAGGTGTATTACTTCAATTTGAAGCATTAAACTAAGAACAATTTAACACTGGTCAAATAAAAAATGAATGGCATTCAAGTGACGTAAACTTGAATGGTCAAACCATATAACCATCTAAAAGTTATCAACAAATCAACTGGCAGTTGGAAATTGTCTATGCTTCATAGGTAAGCATGGTAATGTGAAAGTAGGTATTCTTAAATGAATTGGGGCAGCTGATGAAATACAGGAATGGCAAGGCCAGTGACACCAGTACAATCTTTGACAACATCCACTGCTCAAGAATGTAGTCTTTAATTCTCTTGGTAGAGGAACTACACTTATACCAACTGTTTTGATTATTCAGAACTCCACAATGAACATAAATCAAACCTATCCTATTTTTATGTAATGATGGTTGGCTGTTTAAGTATTAGCTGCACCCACATTTTTTTTCATTGGGCCCAATACCAGCAAAACCATAACATAACCCCACAATGGTTGTTTACCAAAGATAAGAGCAGTAACATCTGTGTGGCAGAACCTACATTATCTACCAACCAAAGTGTAACCAATAGTAATCCTCCCAGAATAAAATGATTTTCACCCGACCATCCAAGAGTATCTTGCTGGGTGTGAATTGATATCCAAATAATCAAAGCTGCAACATTATCAGATACTCACCTTAACTCGAAGCTCTCTCATTGGGTGTGGTGTTAACAAAGCCCTGACAGTTGTCACAATGGGTCCCTATATAAAAATACAAGAACATTAGGCACCTTAAAGTTCTGTTCCAATTTTGGCACTTAAAATATAAATTAAAACACCTTCTACCTGCATGCCACAAACAACTATTTGATCTCCTTCATGCAGTATACCATTGACCAAAACAACATCAATTGTAGTACCATGACCTTCAACGACCTTGACTTCCAGTACAGTACACTGAAACAAAAGAAGATAATTAAAAAGAATGCATTTTTCTGTAATGGCACAATAAAGATCAAAGTACATTACCTGGACTTCATCAACAAAAGTAAGTTTTTCTTCCATTGTCTTCTGTGCCCATTGAACCAACAAAAGAAGCAAATCAGGAATGCCTTCACCACTGGTAAGAGCAGTGCATAACATGTCAACGTAAAGATGGCAATAATATGAGATGCAATGTAACATATAGTGCATAAAAATAGACGAAGCAGTAAGTTAATGACCAAACCTTACAGCACTCGTAGGCACTATGTTAAAGGTATCTTCCATCTCCTTGTTCTTGTAGTACAAAGCTGTATTCACTCCTTGCATCTTGAATTGTGTAACAATCTGTTGGGCAACACAAGCACATGTTTTAAACATGGCACTGCATGATGGTTTTTTCTGCTAAAAAAGAAAGGGAAACAAAGAATGCGCTGCTCACTCACATCTGTAAGTCTCATATTGAACTCCCTCTTAACATCTTCATTTTGCTGTTTTAAAGCCTTCACAATAGGAGCATTTGGACATTTCTTCCAACCATAAAGACGATCAACCTTTATAGAGTGAAAATAAACAGATTAAGTAATGAATAAGTAACAAAAATAGTAAGGAAAGCCAAAAGTCAAAGAGCAACTCTAGAAAACATACCTTATT